AATGACTTGTAATGAAAACATAAAAGTATCGACAGCATTAAAAGTAATTTATAATGACAGATTGCAATTTTACAGTAATGGTAAAATATACTTTTAATGCTGTCGATACTTTTATGTTTTCACATTACAAGTCATTATGCATTCAGTCAGAAATTAGAAGCATTGTTTTACAGAAACAGAATATTTGTCTCTTTTCATTTTTTTCTCTTCTTTCAATTTGACACATCGCATTCAAACGTCAAAATCCATAAGTACATAAAATGTTCACCCTTATGAAAAGATACTAACAGTTATAAGAAGATTGTCTGTTTTACGTTCAAACGCGTCGTTATTTTTTCAATTTCGCAGTCGGCGATCGATAATTCATACACAGTCGATTGGCGGTTCTGGATAGCCCTCTCTGAAAAAGTAGAGCACGCGACATCGGAGCTATATGACAGTATAAAATCAAAAATCGATATTTGACGCCCCGCGCATCGCGAATGATAATCTTCATGTCGATCTCATGCAAGTGTTACTTCGAGGCAAACAAAGAGCTCCGATACTGACGCGCAGAGTTCGCAAGGTTTCCGCAATCTCGAGTTCTTCTCGTCGCGAATAATTTCCTGTTACAATATAACATTATCATAAATGAATAAGAAATGAATACTATATATATATATATATATATATATATATATATACATATGTCCCATATATTTTATTAATGATTTTCTTATAAATGATAAAAATATAAGATGCGATTCAAATTGGATAATTCTGGCTTTCCTTTTATTCGAAAGCAGAAACATATTGAATTGTGCCGTACATATAATTTATATTACTGATATTTTATTATACCGACTGAAATTTATATATGAAACTTATATGAAACATATAAAATTTTACATGTAACATTATATTTTTTTATATGTACGTATATAATATATATTATGAAATATTTTATAAAATTTTAAAACGCGTAAACATGATGAATGTTTCATACGTTCTTGCTGTCATCTCTATTATATAAAATTGACATTTTCTTTCAGGTTTTTTTTTTTTTACAATAACGATTAAAAATAAATCATACTTCGTTTGAGTATACGACCTTGATTCTAAACAAACTCCCGCGTTTTTACGCGAACGCATCGGAACGGAATTGGCATGTTATACCTGACGATATGTAGGTCAACGGCTGTATAATTTGCGGTGCAGTTGCATGATTAAGTGAATAGTGGATGTACGCTAGTCTCGAGGAGAACACATTGGTCGTTCGACGAAAAGGGACAGTCGCGCGCGCAATACACATTACCTTGACTGCTTTAAAAACATGACCGACTTGTAGTGTTACGTGATCGATTTATCTATACGCGGGGGGAGACGATATTCCATCGGACCGTGGAGATTAATCTGACACAATCTACAGTGCGGATTTATTCGTGACAACCATTTTAACCGAGTACATTTCGAATGTATACTGCTGAAAATAATCATTTAAGTAGTGTGTCTCGTTTAAATATTATATTACTTAAACATTTATTTTTTTGTGAAATAAAACTGAATAAATAACAAATAATTACATAGCAAATTTAATTTGATTAAAATTGAATTATTTTAATTAGAATTTAAATCAGAAATTTTTATTTTAAGTAATATCTGACATTTTCAATTTCCAGTATTATTACATAATAAGAAAAATACAAAACGTTATCATTTATGCTAATTTATAAAAATAATAATAATTAATTAACACAATTTAATGAAACATGAATTAAAAATGGATTCAAGAAATATGGTATAAGAAAGAACGAAAATGGAATAGTTAGAAATTGAAAATAATATTTTAAAAATAGCACTATGCGAAAATAATACTTTAATATCTTATTAATTATATAAAATAATTTTAATTACTTAGAAAGTTACCAACAAGAACGCGCGTATTTGAACTATTTCTAATTTATTTCTGAATTATTTCTGATTTGTGAAATAATAAAATTCTAATTAACTTATAAATGTGAAATATGAGTGCACACTAATTACTTAGCGCGGTAAAAGGTATATAGCTTACGTAAATGTATTTTCTATTTCCAATAAAACGTATCCCTGTATTTCTGGCGATGACAACGACGACGGGGTGGAGAAAATCGAGCACGACTCTGTCGCGGTTACGCGATACGTTAATGCATATAAGTACAGAGTCGTATTCGTGATCGCAGGGTACACGACACGGATCGAGGCGCAGACAGTGCAAACCGGCATACTTACGATACGAAGGCGTCGGGGGAGATGGGACGTGAGAGAGTACTTAGGGTGACAGCGGCCGGTAGTTATGCAGGGCGAATGCCAGTGTAATCCAGGTCAAAGTTGTACTCATCACGCCTGTAAACTATAAAACGATCAGCTGACGTGAGTTCCCTCTCCTTTCGTCACCCTTGTTATGTCACGAATGACCTGCTTCGCATAAAATCCGGTAACATTAACCTTTTCCACGCCTTTATTTGCTCCCTTGAATTCTTCATCATTTCCTGATTTGGAACATAAAGATACAGAAGAAGCGGTTAGATGGGATAGAGTAATGTAAGGACTTTTTTTTTAGACGAACAGTATCAACTTATTTTTATATTAGTACGGTATCAATGACAGTATCAAATGACGGTATCAAATGAAAATTTTTCAAGTCTTTATAAAATAAAGATATATTCAATAGAAATTACAAGAGAATTCGGTAATTATTCGGTGATGTTCACGGTAACGAAATCGAGCGAGGACTGTCAACTTCTTTCTATTCTCGACAGCCCATTGCCTGTATTTATATCCCTTCTTGTCGGTTTCTAGACTGTTCTTCAATTTTCAGTTAGTTCCCTAACTGCTGCCCTCGTCAAGGTAATCCTAACTTATTTATAAACAAAGTCATGCGAGCTGACTCACTTTGCCTTGTTCGTGTCCTTATTATTGTAAAGAGTTTGTCTCTCGCAAATAACAAGTGAGACAAATATTATCGTTCGCTTATACACAAAAATCATTCGCTCGATATAATTATATTCTAAAATAATCCCAATCCTACATTCGGCCGTTCTGACAATTAAATCTGTCCTCAGATTTCGTCCCGACTGTTATCGTCAGTGAAAGAGTCGTCGTTTCCTAACCATGGTTTTATATGATCGGCGGCGGTTGAGGTTTCGTTTGGTCCTTCATGGTCGCCAATTTTTTTGACTACATATCGGTCGTTACGCAAAGCTTTTATAATTTGATAAGGTCCTAAAAATTTCGATGCACATTTCAATCCTGTTCCCTTCTGTGTTCTCTTAATTGCTACTAAGTCATCCTCGCGATACTGTTTCGTTTTTTTACGACGCTTATTATAATTTCGTTTATTTTCTTCCTGTGTGCGTTTTATACATTCTCGCGCCTGCTCTCTTAACTCATCTCGATCATTGCTAAACATCGCTTCCATTTCTCCTTCGATTAACTCTCTCAATTGGGGATTATCTCTCAGTCTTATATGCGTACCAAACATTAATTGAAAAGGGGTTTTACCCGTGCTTCGACTTGGTACCGCATTTATATATTGTTGGGTTTTATTTAGATATTTATGCCACTCGCCCGCCCTCGGAGCGGCTAACTTTGTCAACACCGGTATCAATGTTCGATTTATTCTCTCTACTTGCCCGTTCGCTCGAGGAACGCCCGTCGTTATCCGTATATGCTCGATATTTTCTTTTTTACAATATTCGTTAAATTCATTGGACGTAAAGGCAGTTCCTCGATCCGAAATAATTCTCCTCGGGTTTCCAAAGTTAACAGCTAATTTCTCTAATTTATCTATTACTTCTGCTGTGCCGGTCGATCGCGTTCCGAAAAACCATACAAATTTAGAGAATGCATCTACAATGACAAGAATATGATGATATCTTTTTTTTGTCGAAGGAAGCGGTCCCAAATGATCGATATGATATGTTTCGAGAGGTACATGACCTTTCGGTATCGGATTTAGGTAGCCGTCCAATTTACCTGTTTTTCTATTCGCTAGAATACAGTTTACACAATTTCGCATTATTTTTTCAACTACTTTACGCATATTAGGAAACCAATAATTTTGTCTAATTAATGCCTCAGTTTTTTCTGCCGCAAAGTGACCATTTTCGTGTGCTTGTCGAGCTACCTGAGCTTGTAAGCTTTTTGGCACAATCAATTGTAGATCTCCTTCATTTTCTTTATATAACAGCCCGCCTCTCACTACATAGCCGTCTCTTTCTCCTTTATTTGCTAACGAATAAATATCTCGCAAATTTATGTCCTCTTTTTGAGCTTTACGAATTCTTACAATCATACTCTCCTCCGATTCGCTTATTAGCATATTATGCGGTAACGGGTTTCGACTTAAGGTATCTACATGAATCATATTTTTACCCGGACGATGCGCAATACAATAGTCGAACTCTTCCAACAACAAAGCCCATCTAGCAACGCGAACACACAGATCTTTTTTATTCATTGTCAAAGCGAATGCTTGACAATCAGTAACAATTTTAAACTTAATTCCCAGTAAATAAACTCTAAATTTTCGCAGTGCCTTTATTATCGCTAAAGTTTCTAACTCATAACTTGTATATTTCATTTCAGTATCCGTGGTTTTTCCGCTCGCGTAGTAAATCGGATGTAAAGCACCATCGTCATCGCATTTTTGAAATAATATAGCACCGAAACCGTACATTGATGCGTCGGTGTGCAATTCTGTTTCCGCTTTTTGCTTATACAACTCAACACTGGGTTCTCGCTCAATATTAGTTTCAATTTATCAAAGGCCTCCTTTTCTTTCGCACCGAACTCGAATTTTACATTCATTTTTAATAAATTACTCAAAGGTCTGGCTATCCGCGCATAATTGTTAATAAATTTTCGAAAATATCCGGTTAGTCCCAAAAAACTTTGTACTTGTTTTATTGTTTTCGGTTGTGAATATCTTATCACGGCTTCCGTCTTATGTTCTGTCGGTCGCATCGAACCGTTTTCAATAATTACACCCAAAATTCGACTCTAGTCTGTAAAAATTTACATTTTTTCCAATTGATATTTAATCCGAATCTCTCGGCAACGCCCAACACTTTCTCAAGACCTGACAACGCGGCTTCAAAATCCGTAGATGGAATAATCAGATCATCCACATATGTCAAAACCACGCCGCCCCTGATTAGCTCTCGAAAGGTCTGGTTTATGAATCTCTGAAATACTGCCGGAGAATTGCACAAACCGAAAGGCGCGTAGAGAAACTCGTATTGTCCGTCTGGCACTACGAAGGAGGTATACTTTCTACTCTCCTTTTCCATCGGCACATGAAAAAATCCGTTTTTTAAGTCGATCGTACTAAATATTGACGCCCCTTGCAATGCATCTAATTGATCGTCAATTAATGGAAGTGGGTAACGATCCTTTATTATTTTCTTATTTAGTTGTCGATAATCGACACACAACCTAGTCTCTCCCGTCCCCTTTTTAACTAGAACTACCGGACTCGCGTATTCTGAAAGTGAGGGTTGAATTATACCCTTGTCTAACCATTCGTTTATGTGTGCGGTAACCTTTTCTTTTTCCGACGGAGATAAACGTCTAGGCCTCTGATAAACCGGTTCGTCATCACGAAGTATAATAGTCATTTTATATTCCGTCTCGCATTTTCTGGTAGGATTATATTTATTGATCATGTCGCTTACTTTATTTTCATTCTCGCTCGTCAAATGTGATAAATCGGTATCGCTAGACTCGCTCTGTAATTCGATTTTAAATATTTCCGGTAACTTTTCTGCCGCTCGAATCTCTGCGCGAGGTTTTCGCATCGTAATTTTTCCTTCTTCGACATACAAATTAATTCGGTCTAATAAATCAGTCCCTATGAGTAAGTCATACTGCAGCAATTCATTCGGTACTACCGATAGACTGGTTAAAAAACGTTCATCGTCAATTTCTACTTCGGTATCAAAACGTCCTTTAGTTTTAAAATTCTGTGTGCCTATACCACGAAACACAATTTCTTGATGGGTCAAATTCGGTGACCCTATTTTTATATATTGTTCTTCGCGAATTAATGATAAATCACTTCCCGTGTCAATCAAAGCTACTATATTCTCGTTATTTATTTTTACGTTTTTAAAATATTTTCGTTCCGTTTTCGTAATATCGTGCATACTTTTTATTTCGTTAATTCTAGTTTTTTTTTCGCAATTTGCTGCAATATGTCCAAACTCACTACATTCAAAACATCGCGTACCTTTCGCTTTTGACGGACAATTCGCTGCACGATGTCCCTGCGCTCCGCAATTATGGCATCGCATCGCATTCCTTGTCGCCCCTGACTCTTCTCGCTCGGCACGTCCCTGGACACGCCGTTCCCTCTCATTCCTTCGCGCTCCCGACTGCTCTTTCCCTCGCAGCGATACCCTCTCGAACGCCTCAATTAGCGACCTTCTAGTACGCAGCCGCTGTACTCGTGCTTGGTCTCGTAAGACTGGATCCGGAATCCCTTCGATGACATATTCGACCATCTCGCTTTCCTCAATTTTAATTCGATTTCCAAGAATCACCTTCTGATGTAGGTACTCATTGAATGTCTCCTCTCTTCGCCAAATACGCTGCTCAAACTGCTTTCTCACATGCACTCTTCCCGGCTCATGGAAAAACATATTTTTTAACTCGTTTAACAGCTCGTCGACGGTAATCTCGGTATACGTTGGGCTAGAATGCAACCATTCTTGTGCTTTGCCCTTCAGGCGTGCTCCGATCAGGATTCTCGTCAGGTCGTCGGTCAAGTTGTAAGCGCCTCTCAATGATTCGACACGCTTCTTCCAGGATTCGAATGCGCTGCTGTCGCCCTCAAAATATCCCAACAGGCTTGCAATTGCGTTTATGTTGGTTACGCCTGCTTCGTGAGAGATCGTCGGACTCCCTGCAGCCACCTCATTTCTCAATTCTCCTCCATCAGTATTCACATTTTGGGTGCGTCTCAACAAATCGTTTTCTTGTCGCATCAATCGCAGCTCGCGCTCCATCAATCGTTTTTCTCTTTCACAAAGTTCCATTGACCGTCGCAGATACTCAACCTCAGTATCATGTATGCTCGATTCGTCCACTTCACCGCTCTCCTTCGTCCCTCTCGTCTCTATCGTCTCTCTCACCCCGTCCTGCTCCTCCTCATTCGTCACTCGCAACATCCAACTGCCCGCTGGATCTTCTTCAAAAAGTCTGGCAATCAACTCGTGCTTCGCGCCAGTTATCGTCAAGCCCTTCTCTCGCAGTATTTCTCTTAGTTCGTTGACGGTAAATCTATTCGCACCTCTCTCAGCGTGCGCCATTGAAAAATCGGTACTCGTCCAAATTCCCTACTTCAAGCTGCAACCGCTCGCAGTCCCACGCAGCGTCAACTCGCGTCAATCCCGGACGAGCCCCCAAAATTGTAAGGACTTTTTTTAGACGAACAGTATCAACTTATTTTTATATTAGTACGGTATCAATGACAGTATCAAATGACGGTATCAAATGAAAATTTTTCAAGTCTTTATAAAATAAAGATATATTCAATAGAAATTACAAGAGAATTCGGTAATTATTCGGTGATGTTCACGGTAACGAAATCGAGCGAGGACTGTTCAACTTCTTTCTATTCTCGACAGCCCATTGCCTGTATTTATATCCCTTCTTGTCGGTTTCTAGACTGTTCTTCAATTTTCAGTTAGTTCCCTAACTGCTGCCCTCGTCAAGGTAATCCTAACTTATTTATAAACAAAGTCATGCGAGCTGACTCACTTTGCCTTGTTCGTGTCCTTATTATTGTAAAGAGTTTGTCTCTCGCAAATAACAAGTGAGACAAATATTATCGTTCGCTTATACACAAAAATCATTCGCTCGATATAATTATATTCTAAAATAATCCCAATCCTACAGTAATATATAAGGCATTTTTTTCATTATGAAAGAACATGAGTTTGCGAAAGTGCCATTATTGCCGTAAACATTATTTAGAGTTAACTGAAGAGAGCTCAAGTCATTCACTTATGAATTAAACATCAGTTAATTTTAACTAATGTACATAGATTCATTATCATAATCTAATTTAACTTTTTTGTTGTAAAGCCACTTCTTTAATTATATTCCATAAAGTGCGAGATTCATCATTTTGAATTTATTATTTCTATTCATAAATATACATCACACTATTCAGTGATTCAGATGTCATATATATAAAAATAAAAATATACATATATTGAAAAATAAAATCGAAGGTAAACACGGTATGCACTTTCGTATAATGTATAGTGCAGTTGTTATGCAATGATTTCATGACAAATTATTTTCAATATACGAATTTTTCTTCTTACCAGCAATGTGTACTCACCGGCCTGATCCAAATTACAGCGCTCGCGTATATTGAAGCAGGGGCTTCGGGTACTTTCGAACTATCGATTACTGCTGAAAAGTATACATACCGAGTAGCCGAGCCGCAATACGCTGCAAAGTTCGGGATATAATGAACTTGGCGAACTTTCGATATTCCGCAACCTCGGAAGGTCGCAGCTACTTATAGCTGCCGAACGGCTGCCTTCGAGAATCTATTGAAAATTCTGGGAAGATAAAATTTTTCTCTCTACATAAAGAGTCGATAAATTTAGGTGACTATCAAGTAGATCTACCGGAGTATCGCCGTTAAGTATTCATTGTTGGGGCAGAAAGATCTGACGTTCCACGAGATAAGAGAAAGAAAAAAAAAACGTTCGCCTCCTCGCAATTCTTAACTTGCGAGACCAACTTCTTGTAACAAAAGAGAGATCGAGGTCTTCGCGAGAAGGGGCCAGATTTAGATCGCACTCTCTTTCGCGCATTTCTTTTCAAGCCTCACCAATGAATCCTCTTTTCGTGCTATCTACTCTCTCGCGAATAGCCTTCAGTTCTTTAAAAATTTTACTATATACATGAAGTTCCCATCCATCATCCTGGTAGGCAAGAGAGAACCGTTTTCTGGTTTTATTCTAAATAATATAACATTTTTCTCAGAATTTAAAGGCACCTGAACAAAAATACAGTTTATTATACGCGAAGAAGATAAGGATTGCATGAAAAGTATAAAATCTTGCGTCAGTATATGTAACTACTTGAATACACATTACATACGCACGCATATGCGATAATCTCGTGCATATTTAACGAACGAAGATGGTTAGGTTCGATGATGTAGAGAGTTACCGGTGTTCATTCAAGAACTCAATGAGCCGATGGTATCCGATACATATACCGGGTGTGCCACGCCCTTGCAAATAGGTAGTCGTTCGTCAAGAGTGACGCAAGCCCCTGCGATTAGGTAGGATCAGGAACGGAAAAGGGTCGCGGCGATAGGTATCGATAGGAGAGGAAGAAAAGGGCGGTATATACGATCAATGGCTCTGGGTCGGTCGTCGGGAACGGAATAAAAACAGCTCGATTATGAGGGAATCGACCGAGGGCACGCCACTATACTGCCAACATCCGGAGGACTTAAATCGTCGACGTGTATGCAATTTCAAGTGCCGCCGCTATTAACAGGACGTGAATGGGAAGGCGGGATATATATTTCGCGTCCGCGATCGAACAATATCTTTTTCAGATTTACGGACTGCGACGTCAAGTTTGCGTGTTACGAGAAATCATTTTGCGAAGATTAACGAGATCCGCATCATTAAACAGGTCGGAGCGGCATTATGCGGCTGAAATTTGCCTAAGCGCCAAGAATTTGGAACAGCTGTAATATTAATTAATATACCGATAAAGGACGAGGGAGGACCGTCGTAATCGGTAAGCACGGCTGTTTCGAGAAATAACAGTCTGAAGGAAACTCGAACACTCGATTTACGCTTCATAGTACTCCTGGGATTCGTCTTCAGAATGGAGAACTCTGGTGAGATCTACAACGGTGCTTCCACAAAAGCCACAGTCATTCTCCACGAAATTCGTGCGATACGTGCAGATTTACTGCTCGTAATGTACATGATGCGGCGACCATAAAGACGCAAGAAACGCGGAAAAGATAAAGAAGATCGTGTATAGAGCTGTCGTCATGAATAGAGATTAGAATTGAAATAGCAGTAAATAATCTAATTTTTACATATTAAACGAAAACTCTGTTGAGGCGAAGATTTTAGATATAACATTTTTTAACTGAAAGTTTAATATAAAATTATAATATTTGAAATAGCTATTACTACAGTTTAAACGTACGCAATTTTACTATTATCAAAAAGAAATTATTTGAAATTGTTCATGTTTTTTTTTGCATCACACTTGTAACTTTCAATTTAACAATTTTTATTAATATTTTGTACATTGTGAGACGCGAGAAAAATATGCGAGATAAAAATAAAAATTTAGTTGGGCTGCAAAAATTGAAAGATTGCTGTTTTGGAGTAATAAAATTAATTATTGGCAAAAGAAAAATCAAAAGTTTTGTGTTAGTTGTTTTTATACAGGCTCATATATAAGATGAACGGACGATTTGAAATCAAAATAAAATCGAATTCAAGTGAGAGGTCAGTTTAGGTAGTGCACCCTAGGGCTCTTCACGTTGCCAAAGAACCCCCGGGGCGTTTTATACTGCGTTTCCTAAGAAACTTTTACAAAAGTTACGAATCTGCCGTCCCGGAAAATTTTCCAGCGACTATGATGTAAGGAGATGAAAGACGTGTGGAATTTTATAAAACCTCATATATATCACTTTTATTGTTATTCTAGATATAACATGTTTTGCTGCTTTACAAAATCAGGAATCTTGTACATCGTACATGTATAACATCCTGCGTTGCGGTAAGTAGCAATCCATCGACAATTTTCTTTTTTTTTTTTTTCCAAAGCTTTTTTGGGGAAACGCGATTGACTATGCGGCAGTTTATGTGGCGACGACAAACTATCACGCCATTTTGTAGTCGTTTCGATAAACTAAGAAGTTAAAAACAGAAATTCCTTTTTAACAATAATATTAATGATAAAATTTTTGTTATAATTTAAATGCAATATCTAGCAGCTCGATAATCAATTAAAAATGTGGCATAAAAAGGGAATAAATATTAAACATTTAGGAAATTTAAGGAATTTTAAAAGAGAAGTTTCTTTTAAATAACATTGTGCAAAAATATTTTTATATTTTTTTGTACTCATGAATATTCAAGTAAATGATTGAAATATGTTATATTTTATTTGAAACCTTATGGTAAATAAAATATCGATATAATAACTCAATGTACTATGCGATGGAAGAACTTTTTCCGAAACAATCGGGAAAACGTCGTAAAATTAAATTGAGATAGAAATAAAAATGCAAACTTTTTGATGTATTGACAAGTTTGGGCGAATGAAAACATACGTTTTGATGCAAGCGAAGGGGACAGGTGTCCCAGCGATAAGCGAAAGATTTTTCGGTGGCGCGAAATGTATCGGTGACACCCGTCCAATCCGCTATCTGCGGACGAGAGATTTTCAGAAAAGTTTCAGAGAGAGAGAGAGAGAGAGAGAGGAAATGATATCTCGCCGAATACGGATGATCGATGCGGACCGGGTCACTAGAAGCATACATCGCTGGTTATTGAGCCGTCTAATCGCGTTGCGCGCTTTTGCTCCGGCAAACACATCGACACGCGCCGACAGAGAACAATATCGCGATGAAAGAAATATTAATATCGAATATTACGTTTTATTCGAAACTGCAAACGAGCGTTTAAAGAATTTTTATGGACGACTCTGCAAATTATTTGACCGGTTTAATTGGGCGTATATATGCATGCGACGAGGAGGCCACTTTGCAAATTGTCGAGAAATTTCCTGTTTATGTCAACTTGGAGTATTTACTTGTTGCATTGCGTATATAATTGACCGTATCTTGTCTCCTCAATTTTTTTTCAGATTTTTGTAGAATGATAATTATGAACAAAATATATATGTGTGAAGTAGATAAGCACGCGAAATTATTTTAAGAGAAAGTCTGAAATAATCTAAAGTAATTTACGAAGAGATGAAAAGTTTAATCAAATCTTCGTTAATTTATAATTCCATTACTCTTATGATTGGCGTTCTTTAAATCATTATCACTGCACTGATAACATGATTTGCGGTCAATTTGGAAAATTAAAGATTTCCGTTATCGTACATGAAAATTTCAAGGCGAGAGAGACAGCGGTTGAATATTGAAAACTCGCAACAAGACGAGGTAATCTGCAAAGCTTAATGACAAAGCACAGGAGCCTTTCTGAGATTGTTCGCTTGTCGTGAGGGAGAAGGGGGAATTGCCTCTGACTTCTATAATCTAGGTTAGTCTACAATTAAGGTCAGACCGACA